GTCACCTAAAATCACTTCATGTGCAGTTCCACCAAGTTTCCTGATGTTTCATTTCCAAAGATGCAGGCCAGGGGTGCTGGGAGCTTCACTATAATTTGCTTCTTAATCTCACATAACATAAAGCCTTAAAGAATCAGCACTGAAATCCTAAAGCTGTTAATGAGCCACACCCTAGAAATAATTAAAATATTTTTGTCCATTAAAAGTAGAATAATTTGAGTATTTTAGAAAAAGTGAAAATGAAATAAATCTCTCCTCAATAAAGTCTAAACTTCAGAAGGCCAGGTGAGAAAGGAATTGTTTGTATTTCAAATTTTAAAAGTCGTACTCTAATAAGAGGCATTGAGAAAATACACTGTATATTTTATATAGATATATTAAAAAGTCCTGCAGATATATTTTACAAGTCTTAGTCTATTAAGAGGCATTAAGTCAATTTTTTAATCAATGAGAATTGCTTACAGTTTTATATATATACTCTATCATTTCTGTCTCTATCATCCATCATCTCTCTACCTCTCTATCTCTCTATCATCTATCCATCCATCCATCCACCCACACACCCATCCATCCTTCCAGATACACACACACACACAAACACACACACACACACACACACAACACACACACACAATCTGTAAACAATTCTCTTTTTACCAATTAAAAAATTGCCTTACTTCCAAAAAGTAATTGAGGTGCTGTAGGTGTCGAGGACAATCTGCTTGGGAGCTTCCATGTGTTCTATTGCTTCTACTACATGTATGGCTTTGTGTTTACTCCTTTGGTTGAATGTATATATGTACAGTTGACTCTTGAACAACATGGGTTTGAACTGGGTGGGTCCACTTACATGTGGATTTTTTTCAATAAATACCTGTACTGTTTCGATCTGCAGTTGGGGGTCCACAGGTGTGGAGGGCTGATAGTACGCATTGATCTCCACCATCTTATGCAGGGGCTTGAGCATCCATTGATTTTAGTGTTTGCAGGGGAGTCCTGGAACCAACCCTCTGCAGATACACAGGGACAACTAAGTTCTACGACAGTCAAAAGTTATACGTAGATTTTCAACTGTGCAGGGATCAGTGCCCCTAACCTTCATGTTCTTCAAGAGTCAACTGTATTTATATGAAGCTAAAATTATAGGAATGGGTTTTAAGCAAATACATCTATTTTTTAAAACATAGTCTTGAGATCAAAATGAAACATAACTCATCCAAAGGCTTCTTAAAAATTGGAATTCTATACTGTATTTAAAAATAGGATAATAACAAAAAAATCCAAAATACTAATTTGAAAAAATATATGCACCCCTATGCTCATTGTAGCACTATTTACAATAGCCAAGATATGAAAGTAACCTAAGTGTCCATCAGTAGATAATAGGATAAAGAAATTGTGATACACACACACACACACTGGAATATTACTCAGCCATAAAAAAGAATGAAATCTTACCATTTGTGACAACATGGATGGACCTATAAGGTATTATGCTAAGTGAAATAGGTCAGATAGAGAAAGACAAATACTATATTATCTCACTTATATGTGGAATCTAAAGAACAAAATAAAACAGAAAGAGGCGTTTAGATACAGAAGTCAAGCTGATGGTTGCCAGATGGGAGGGAGAATTGGGGGGGCAGGGTGAAAAAGATGAAGGGATTAAAAGTATGTACAAATCGGTAGTTACAAAAAAGTCATGGGGACTATAGTCAGTAATAATGTAATAACTATGTATAGTGCCAGATGGATACTAGACTAGTCAGGGAGATTATATAAATATCTAACCATTATGCTGCACATCTGAAACTAAGATAAAACAATATTGAATGTCAACTGTAATTGAAAAATCAAAATGGGGGGACCATGAAGGGGACTAAGAGATTCAAACCTCCAAGTATAAAACAAGTAAGTCATGGGGATGTGGTGTACAGCATAGGAAATATGGTCAATAATATTGTGATAGTGTTGAACGGTGTCAGATGATTGCTGGACTTATCATAGTGATCACTTCTTTAGGTATATAAATGTTGAATAACTATGATGTACACCTGAAACTAATACTGTATGTTTGCTATATTTTAATAAAAATCTTTTAAAAATAGGGTAATAACTATTATGTACCAAGTGACAGCAGAATTTTGACCCAAGTAGAGAGGCTCTCAGTCAAAATCTTTAAAGCTTATAATATTTGCATCTGTGGTGACTATGAAAATATGCCTCTCAGATCTCTGAATACAGAAAGTATTGGTGAATGGCCCCAGAGCTGCACTCTGAAATTTATCATAATGTTCACACTGAAGCTATGCTTCCCAGGGCTATTCCCAATCAGTGACTGTGTGTAGCATGGACATTAAAGCCAGCCCATTCCTCTAATGGGCAACTTTGACTTGAGGACTCATCGGCCATATTTAACCTTCCTAGAATTACACTGCAGGCTTGGACTCTTCCACCCAGCCTTCCTTCCTTCTCTCTGTCCTTCAGAAGGGTTAGACCTGTATCATGGTCTCACAGCTTCCTAGCTGCCCCCAATGCCCTTCACATTTTCCTTGGATGTTTCTTCTAGTAATTCTCTTGCATTTCTAATCCTGTCTTGTCATCTGCTTCTCAGAAACCTTGGAGTAACATACCATCCTTTCTTAATAATATAGAATTCTAAGATACTACATACCTCCTTAAAATCCTCCTGGAGAAAAAAAAATAAAGATTCTGGCACTGAATTATAACAAAACCAACCTAGCAAATAATTTGGTTTAATACATTCTAAACTTTGGTATAATATGATAATATTAATTTGGTAAAAAAATGTTATATAGTATAAAAGGAAGCTAAAAAAAGAGAAGAAAAAATTAAAGGCTTTAATATCATTTATTATTTACCAGATTTAATTTTAATGGAATATATGAAACTACATAGGTTCTAATATTATCACCAATTGAATAGAAGACAGAATTGGTTGCCCAGACAGAATTTGTGCATATGAATCATCTTATGTATGTGATACTTCATTTGGTCATTGGCTTGATTTCCCCTTTACCCACCCCCCCCCGCCCACTGCCCACCCCAGCTCCATCTTATAAGGTAGACTTGGCTATTTTCTACCATCCTCCAGGGTTTGAATATTACACAAGAAAAAACCTCTCAGCTGAAAGCCACCACTTTCTAAGAAAACTGCCAGATTAATGGGACTGTGTCAAAAGAATACAAATGCTGTAAAAGACAATAATTATTGTGCTCGGTTAAATCACATTGACTCTATGGAAAGCCATGAGTCCATAATAGTAAACAGGAGAAAAATTACCATAAGGTTGAGTAAAGATGGTGAATTGACTAGCCTGTATTACTTTTGAATCTTTTTACGAACATGTTATTTTGATTCACTTACTTTATCAGTGAAAAATAAAAAATTTAGTAAATATTAAATACATAATTAAAAAGCATTTTGTGGCTCAAAAGAGGATGCCAGTAGAATGATTCTATAAGTTGTGACCATACGTTGGGCAAAGTCATTCTAGAGTGCCAAATTTCAATCAGATACAATTTCAAATATCTATGAACATTTTGTGGTCTTAAAAATATGAAAAAATTTTAAGATAGTATTTAGCTCAAAAGGTCTTTAAAACCAGTTTGAAAGGCATCTGCATTTCTTAAAATTCCGTCGTTATAGACAGAGAACTTAGAAGTTAAAGATTACAGAAGTAAACATATATTAATGTATCTTAAGAGTCAAAATTCAAATGATCATTCCAGATAAGAGCAACCAAACTTTGTGAATGAACAAAGGAAGCAGAGAGTGTGTGCAGGTCCCACTCAGGGACATGATCCATGTGATCCAGTGTTAATATCTGTATGTCAAGCAAGAATCTCTGCATATTTTGGACTTTATACACTTGTAACATATAAGAGAATTTGACCTATTAGAGTGATGGCCTCCATCTCTGATTTAAAGTGTATAATTCAATAATTTGTTTAAATTGGTCATTTTTTATGAAAGTATTATTGACATATAACTATCATAATTTCAGGTGTACAACATGATTTGATAGCTGTGTGTCTTGCAAAATGATCACCACAGTAAGTCTAGTTAATATCCATCACCATACATAGTTACAGAATTTTTTTCTCGTGATAAGAGCCTTTAAGATTTACTCTCAGCAGCTTTCAAATATGCCATATGGCATTATTAACTGTAGTTGCCGTGCTGTGCATTATATCAATGCCTTTATTTTGTAACTGGAAGTTTGTACCTTTTGACTCCCTTCACTCATTTTACCCACACCCCAGCCCCTACTTCTGGTAAACACCCGTCTGTTCTCTGCATTGCTTGCTGGTGTTTTTATTTTTTAAGTTCCACATATAAAAGAGATCATATAGTATTTATCTTTTTCTGCCTAACTTCTTACATTTACCATAGTGCCCTGAAAGTCCATCTAGGTTACTAATGGCAAGATTTCATTTTTTTAATGGTTGCATAACATGTTATTGTATATATGCAACCACCTCTTTTGTAATTCGTTGTGATTTCTCATCTAAATAATATTCACTTCCATTCTAATTTTTTAGACTTTTTTCTTAAGGAGAGTCCTCCAATCTGTATAAACTTTAGGCCCCACAAAACTTGGATCTGCCTGACCGTATTATGTTACAAAAACTAAAGCAGCACTATATGTACTGTACTGACATGGAAATAAGTACATGACATATTGGTATGTATAAAATTTGAATTTCAGAATCATATCAACAGTATAATCCTACTTCAGTAAAAAAATATTTTTCAAGTTTGACTCTATACTACAATCTTTGTTTCTCACTACAGTACATGTATTCATTTATATCGTAGTTTTTTAGTTCTAAAAAAAGCGAAAGTGAGTTTTCAATCTTAGTTCATCCTTGTAAATAGTAATAAAACACTTCAAAAACTCGAATATGCGTATTCACTCATGTTAACATTATGAAACTGGGCTGTAACCTGAGATACTGGCAAACAGTCTCTGTGCTGACGTGGTGGTCACTCAGTGCGCATGCGCTGACGTGGCCATAGCGCTCCGAGGCGGGGCCTCGCGAGTGGGGTTCTTCGTTGTTGTAACGACATCGACTTTAAAGGCTTTTCAAAAACATCTCCGAGCAGTTACGTGATGTTTCTGAATTGAAATGAAGTGAAAATGAAATCCTGTGTACGCAGAAGGGTCAGGAAACCGTGCAACATGGCGCAGTTCGACTTTAGGCATATCGCTTGCGGGGTGGTGACGGCCTAGTCCACGTGTTTCTCGGCCCCCCTGGCAGCGCAGGCCCAGGCCCACGCCACCGCAGTTCCGGATGAGACGTGTACAGATTCCAGGGCCAAAGAGGCCTCGGGAGCCATATGTCGTGCAGGGGAGGCGGCGATGGCGCTGTAGGGGAGGCGGCGATGGCGTTGTTCGGACTGCTTGAACAGAAGCCGCTCAACTCCAGTAACTTGGGTATCCGGACAGCGAAAGCCCCTCATGAGCCCCCA